GAGTACAGTGGCATCATCTCAGCTCACTGCAACCTCAAACTCCTGGGTTCAAGTGATCCCTCTGCCTCAGCCTCCCAAGTAGCTGGGACTAATTTTTCTATTTTTGGTTTTGAGTTTCTATTTTCTATTTTGAGACTAGGTCTTGCTCTTGCTCAGGCTGGTCTTGAAATCCTGAGTTCAAGCAATCCACCCACCTCACTTTCCCAGACTGTTAGGATTATAGGCATGAGCTACCTCACCCAGCCAAAAGAGGGAGTTATTGGAAAGATGCTGAGGTACCTCATTTAATCAAAGGATGACAATTAGACAATCAGCCCATAGAAGGAATTGAGCACAGCTTGGCCTCTGGCATTTCAGGGACCAGATCTGGAATGCTGAAGGCCCTTCCTTGCCTCTACTTGTCTTTGTGCATCAACTGCATTCTCTCTTACTCCACGTAAAAGACAAGGAATGAATGAATATAAGCTGCCTCATGCATTGAAATTTCTTGTGGTAGCAGAAAGAGACTGCCTTTCTGAGTTCCTATTTGAGAAAATTCCTATGTAAGGACTTTCTTTGGCCTGGCTTGGGTCAGGGGTCCTCTTCAAGACCAATCAACTCTGGCCAGAAGATGGGGTATCTAAGAGTACCTGGTTGGTCCTAGGGAGTCACACGATTGAAGAACAGTTTTCAGGAGGAGGGAGAGTACTGGAAGATAAAGCACTTGTTTCTTCATTTCTTCTTTCATACATTTGTTCACTAAATAGTTATCAAGCACCTTTATGTGCCAGGCTCTGTGCTATGTGTTGAATGTAAACCAGCAAGGTTTCAGCAGTCAGCTTAGGTTCTGGTGAGGGAAGCCGTCTAGAAATTAGTGCCTACTATATCTCCCTGTCCTGGCTCAGCCAAATCTACTTCTCCCTGTTTACAAAAGAAAGAGCTAGTGTCTGTGTTGAATGCAGAGGTGGCCCTCATCTAACCAGCCTGGGGGTATTTCCACTGTGAAGGCACTGATTGCTAAGACAGCAGCCTGGCAACTTGGCAGCCTGGCAGCTGTGAGCAGCTGCAGCTGTTCCAACTTGCTAGCCAAGAGTCAGTAGGTGAAGGGAATGGCTTCTGGTTGAGCTGAGATCTCTGGATCTAGCTTGTAAGGCAAGACTTACAGGGGGAAAAACATTGTCAGCCCACTAAGTTTCTGTGGAATTTTCATTATAAGAATACAAAACCCAAGCCTGGCAAACAGGCCTGTGCCTGATTCCACCAACTGGGTAGGGAGTCTGAGTCCCTCAGGTGATCCTGTGGGCAAACCAAACTGAGAAAAGATGGGTGGCTCAGCTCTGCACCTAGCACTGGCAGGAATGTGCTTCCGGTGGTGGTGGTGATGCCAAAAGCCTTTCCTGGAGACTTCTCCAGGGGAAGAATATCTGATGTGCTGGGTCTGCAGGAGAATCCATGGGATTCACTGGTTCTGCAAGATCTTCACCTACAAGTTCCATCTCTTTCCAGGGGCTTTGCAGCAAGGGGCTCTCCTGCAGACTGTGATCAATGACTGGGACCAATGGCCCATGCTGCAGTATGTGGATCTAAATAAGGATTTCTACTCAATCTACCCCTACCCCAACCTCCTTCCTGCAGGTTGTCCAAATGTAGTTCTGCCCACTACTGCATTTTGTATGGTATGGGGGGGGGTTTGATGTATTGTTTATATACCATGTACATGATGTCCTGACATGCTTAAACTAAGGATTCAGCCCATCATTTGGAGAATGGATGGAAAGCACACTTTGGTGAAAATGTACTTAGACCAGAGGACACTGGACTCTGGGTTTTGAGTTTTCTTGAAGGGCCTTTGCCACAGTCACTTTTGGAAACAATATTTCAAGTTTCAATCCTGTGGGGAAGATATATAGAAATTTCAGTTGTAGCAGTTAGAATGGGATTTTGACAGGATATTCTGGGAGGTAATTATGTAGGAAACAGGTTGGGTTAGGAGGGGGTTAAAGGCATCAGACTTGTGGCTCATAGGGCCTACCATACCTCACTACCTTGGTAAACGGACAAGTCAGGCCAACTCATGACCCTTTGGTGTCTGTGCCTCCAGCCCTCATGGTATCAGGCAGGTAGTGGCAGGAGCAAAGGTACATTGGCTATATCTGCAGAGAGAAGCCAATAAGTCGATTTGGGACAAAGACCATGGTGAAATGATGCAAAAACTACACAGTCAAAAAGGGACAAATTAGAACAGGCATACTGGTTTAAATTTTCTATTCTTTTCCCAGTTCTGGTGTCACTCACTATTTACAGGTCTTGCCTATTAGATGATAACTCCTTGAGGCCTGTCTTGTCCATCTCCATAACCACAGCCCCTGGCCCATGAGGGGAACCTTGTAGGGGCCCATTAATGTTTGAATAAACACTTGCATTTATCACAACAACTCTCAGCCCAGGCCCTGACCCAGAGGCTGCGGAATAAGCAGCAGCAAAGATTTGAGAGTCAACACACATGCAAAGAGGTAACCTGGGTCAAAGAGATGTTCTCTGGGGGTCTGAACTGGAAAACACGGGCTAAGAAGATAGCTGGCAGTGGGAGTAGAGCCTTCAAGGATTAGTTAGAAATAAAGATAGCAGCTGCATGGACATTTTGGTCTTTGGTGTTCTCACTTCCAACATTAGGAAGGACCTCATAAGTAAAGATAGGAGACCTCCAAATGATGGACATGAGTGTTGTGTGAAATGTACAATGAACCCAGGTATATAGGAGTAATGTAGTTAACTGCTAAGGCGCATGCATTATTGCCAATCTAGTGTGATCTTGGACCTTGACCTGAAGAGTTTTCTTTCATGCATTCAGGACAGTGATAATTGCTTTGCTGGGCTGGTGTAAGAAAGTAAGGTGTAAGACATAAAAAGTTCTTAGTCTACCCTCTCCTTCCCCATGACAAACACCTGGGTAGCTTCTTAAAAATACAGATTTCACAAAGTCTGAAAGCTGCAGATGCTGGTGTGGATTGGAGAGAAGGAAACACTTTTACATTGCTAGTGGGACTGCAAACAAATACAACCTTTTTGGAAGGAAGTTTGGAGAATCCTCAAAGAACTCAAACTTAGACCTCCCCTTTGATCCTGGAATCCCATTACTGGGCATCTACCCAGAAGAAAAAAAATCTTTTATTATAAGGACATTTGCACTAGGTTGTTTATCACAGCTCAATTTACAAACACAAAAATGTGGAAAAAAACCAAATGCCCACCAATTCAGGAATGGAATAACAAGCTGTGGTATATGTATACCACGGAATATTATTCAGCCACTAAAAAAGATGGAGACTCAGCTCGGCGCCTGTAGCTCAGCGCCTAGGGCACCAGCTACATACACCAGAGCTGGTGGGTTCAAATCCAGCCCAGGCCTGCCAAACAACAATGACAACTACAACCAAAAAATAGCCAGGCATTGTGGCAGGTGCCTATAGTCCCAGCTACTTGGGAGGCTGAGGCAAGAGAATCACTTAAGCCCAAGAGTTTGAAGTTTCTGTGAGCTGTGACACCATGACACTCTACTGAGGGTGACATAGTGAGACTCTGTCTCAAAATAAATAAATAAATAAATAATAAAAAAGATGAAGACTATACATCTTTTGTATTAACTTGGATGGAGCTGGAACTCTTCTTAGTAAAGCATCACAAGAATAGAGAAGCAAGAATCCAATGTACTCAATTTTGATATGAGGACAATTGATGACCTAGTACATGGTGGGGTGGGAGAATGGGGTAGTGAAAGAGAGAAGGAGGGAGGGAGTGGAGGGTCACCACATTTGGCACACCTCTTGGGGGAGGAACACCTTTATAAGAGGACTCTGCCTGACAAATGCAATTAGTGTAACCTGGTTCTTTGTACCCTCAATGAATCCCCAACAATAAAAAACAAAAACAAAGAAAAAACAGATTCCAGTCTGAACAACATCTTGTCTCTACAAAAAAGTAGAAATATTAGCCAGCAATGGCAGTGCAAGCCTCCAGCTACTCAGGAGGCTGAGGCAATAGGATCATTTGAGCCCAGGAGTTTGAGGTTATAGCAGTAAGCTATGCTGATGCCACTGCACTCTAGCCTCGGTGACAGAGCAAGACCCTGTCTCAAAAACAAAAACAAAACAAAACAAAAACAAACCAACAACCTCCCCTGAGAAGCCCATATTCCTAGAACTCCATCTTCCTAAATCAGGATTCTTTGGGGATGGAGCCTAGAAATCTTCATTTTAAATAAGCACTCAGGTAATTAATTAGAGTGATTCAAGACTTTGAGAAACACTGAAAGTGTCAATAAAGGGTGTGTGTGTGTTTTGGATTGTGGGGTGGGGGAAGATAGTACTGTCATCTGTGGCCACAAGGTGGCAGCAGAAGAGGCAAGGAGAAACAAGGGCGGCAGGTGTTCATACCCAGAGGGGCTGGCATAGGGAATCATAGGGATCCGCTTGGGGAAGGAAGTGGACCCTGTACTGCAGCCTGATCTCCTCCGCCTGGCAGAATCTCTGGGACTGCCGGCTAATCCACTTTGGCCATTTGTCTTATTCCCAGGTCCTTATAGAGACTGCTTTTTGCCAAACTCTGCCAGCAGGAACTGCATTGGTGTGACTTTGGCTGGGCTGTGTGGGTGATGATAGTGTGCGTTCCACATAGGTGGGAGTCACATCCCTAGGCATGTTCATCAGGCAGAATCACTTGCACAGGGCAGCTTACTCAAAGGATGCCAGTGCATGTTGAAAGCAACGTCCCCATTCCTGCTCCCAGGTTTGTGGGTCCAGGTGCTATTAAAGGCCTGCTCTTCTCATGAGAGGATCAGGTCTGAGGCTGGGGAGCTGGCTGAAGACCAAGCAAAGGATGCTGGGATGGGGTGGGGGCAGGGAGCAGGGAACTCAGGATGGGGCAGCTGCCTCTGGAAGCAGCCAAAATGTCCCCATTTGCAGCAGAGGTGGGAAGAGGATTAGGTGACAGTGCCCTAACCTAGCCCGGAACTAACACCCTCCTCCCCTTCACACACACACCCTGGCCTGCCCCCTCCGATCCTGCCAAAGCTCAGAATAACCCTGAGAATCAGACAGCAGGATGGTGGGGGCTCTGCTTGGTGCCCTGCTCCTCTTGGGGCTTCTTGGTAAGGACAAGGGTCAGGGAAAACAAGTAGACACTGATATAGGACAAGAGAACGAAGACAGACCAAGTAATAGTCTGGGACAAGATATTTGGTCCTTAGGGGCAACAGTTTTGGCTCAGGAGACAGACACAGAAAAAGGCACAACCTCCTAGACCTGTGCAGTCCCAGAGGAAGGGTGCTCCTGCCTCTTTATCTCCAATGCCTCTTCTTTCTTGACCTCATCCCAGGCAGTGGTGAGGGGGAAAATGAGGAACTGCGTCTTTATCACCATCTCTTCGACAACTATGACCGAGGAAGCCGGCCAGTGAAGCAGCCTGAGGATACTGTCACTGTCACCCTCAAGGTCACCCTGACAAATCTCATTTCACTGGTAAGATCTCCCACTCTCGCCCCAAGCCTAAAATCCTACTTCTGGCCCCAACCACTGAGCTCTGTCCTAAAGCTCACTTCTGGCAGCAAAATCCCACTTCAATCATTCCAATCTTCTCCCCACCCCCAGAATGAGAAAGAGGAGACTCTAACCACTAGCATCTGGATTGGAATTGTGAGTCGAAACTGGGGAATGTGTGAAGCCTTGCCCAGGGGACCCCTTTCACTTGAACTCTCCCATGCAGCACCGGGTAGGAGATGCGGGGCCACACATCCTTTGTCCCCTACCCTTTAGGAATGGCAAGATTACCGACTCAACTACAGCAAGAACAACTTTGGGGGCATAGAAACCCTGCGGGTCCCTTCAGGATTTGTATGGCTACCAGAGATTGTGCTGGAAAACAAGTGAGGATGAAGCTGGAGCCTGGCTGGAGGGAAGTTGGCCTGGGGGCGGCTAGGCTGGACTTGGTTGGGACGGGGGAGGGGGGGGTGCTTGGAATACTTGTGGATCTGTGCAGAAGCCCTGTTTTCCCGAGCCCACAGTATTGATGGCCAGTTCGGGGTAGCCTACTACTCTAACGTGCTAATCTACGAGGGCGGTCTCGTGTACTGGTTGCCGCCGGCCATCTACCGCAGTACCTGCACCGTGGAGGTCACCTATTTTCCCTTCGACTGGCAGAACTGCTCACTCATTTTCCGGTGGGAAGAGTTACCCAGGGGCCCCGGATTACGGGAGGGACCTGAGGTAGGGGCGGAGCCAGATGAGGAAAGTGGCATCCCTGAGGCGGGACTTTGCACAGGAGGCAGAGCCAAGCCTTGGAATATGGTGGTTTCCAAACAGGGGTGGAAAGAGAGGCTTGCAGGCTGGGCTTGGATAAAGGCGTGGAGCCTTACTACTCTGCAAGGTCCACACTTCCAGGGCTGGGCCTGAGGCTGGGGCCCAGGTCTGAGCTTCTGGGGTGGGGATGGGGGCGGGGACCCTCTCTGGCTCCGCAGCTCTCAGACGTACAATGCCCAAGAGGTGGAGTTCACCTTTGCGGTGGACAAGAATAACGAGATCATCAACAAGCTCGAGATCGACACTAAGGCCTTTACTGGTGAAGCCCCGCCTGCTTCGAAAAACGCGCTTCTAGACAGGGTCCAGGGGAGGAGACTTGCAGAGTGGGGTTGCTCCAGATAAACGATAGGGGTATCGACTATGGCAACCGGGCTTTTAGCCCCTTCCCTGAAATCACTCTTGACTTTTACTCTAGTCCTCCCTTCTCGCTGGGGGTCTTTCCATACCCTCACCAGGAATGCCCTTTTCTGCCCCCATCCTGATGGCCCATGGCCCAAACAGTCCACCCTGGCCCAGACAGCTGCATCTTCCTCCCTGGCCCGGAGTTACAGGTTTCTGCGGTCAGGTGTGCGGGTCCCAAACAAGTAAACGGCACCTCCTGTCCTGCAGAGAACGGGGAGTGGGCCATTGACTTCTGTCCCGGAGTGATCCGCCACTACAAAGGTATCTCTGCTGACAGCCCTGGGGAAACTGACGTCATCTACACGCTGATCATCCGCAGGAAGCCCCTCTTTTACATCATTAACATCATCGTGCCCTGTGTGCTCATTTCGGGCTTAGTGCTGCTCGCCTACTTCCTGCCGGCGCAGGGTAAGCAGTAGCCCCAACCCTAAACCCGGGTTCGTTCCCGGAAGGAGGGGCCCACTCTTACTGGGTGCTCCTTCCAGCCGGTGGCCAGAAATGCACTGTCTCCATCAACGTCCTGCTCGCTCAGACCGTCTTCTTATTCCTAATAGCCCAGAAAATCCCAGAGACTTCTCTGAGCGTGCCGCTGCTGGGCAGGTGAGGGCGGAGTGGGCCGGCGCTGTGTCCACACAGGGGAGTGGCCAGCAGGGCGTGGCCAGTGTGGAAGGCGGGGCCAAAGTGGCGCCTGGTGTAGGGGCGCCGCGGAACTAAGTGACAGCCGGAGAAGCTTTGGCTGTCTCCTCTCCTCAATGGTCTTTATTTGGACGCGGGGTGGGGCTGGGATGGTGATGGATTTTCCGGTCCACTGTCCTCCGCGCTGCTGCTGGACGCCACCTGGAGGTCTCCTGAGTATCTCTATTGGAGGATGGTCCGGGTCAGTGCCTACCAGGCTCGCAGCCTCTGACCCCCTACTGCACTTCCCCATTCTGAACTCACCGGTTTCCCGGGGATTCTGAGACCCAGCTGCCGTCGCCACAGCTGCAGGAATGAGGCGGACTCCTGCAGGCCCCGTCCACACAGGCATAGCCACACTCCCTGGACGAGGAGCTGGGAGCTCGTGCCCGACAAAGCCCAAGCGTGCAGAGCCCCCTGCCTTACAGCCTGAGCTACCCGGGCTAGTGCTGCACCCGGATCCCCGGCATCTGGGGCTGGGCCCCGGCTGCCATCGCCGCCGTCTAGTCGCCGCGCCTCTTGCTGCAGCCACAGGGCTGAGATCTGGATTGTGGATGCAGGGGTTAGTGAGAGTTCAGAGGCTCCAGCTCCCGCCGCCCTAGCCCCCTTCCTCTACCGACCCCTTCTCTCCCCTCTCCACCTCCAATAAGGTGGCTCCAAAGCTCATGATGCTAGCCGCGGCTTCTCTCAGCACCAGCCCCAGTGTGGGCTTCGGTGCAGGCGACTCCCCTGGCTCCACGGACTTCAGCTCTCCGAACCTCTGCTCCAGATATTCATGGGCTGCGGCCACAGAGAGTTCCAGGGAAGATAGAAGCGGGGGCTGGAGAGCCACCTGGTGAAGCACGGGCAGTAGTGTCAGTTCATAGGACGGGGGTCACGGGTATGGGGGAAGTGCTGAAAACCTACCCAGAGGGTCTCAAGGTGTCGCCGCCCTTGTGCGGGGCCAATGGCGGAGCCTCACCTCCGTGGAGCTGTGGAAGTGGTAGACCCACAATAGGGTGTCCAGGGAGCTGGGGGTCCCCTTCATGGCTGCTACAGGTGGTAGAAGGGGCAGAAGAGCCAGGGAAAGCGTCTGGCCTCGCCGAGGGGGCGCAGCTTGGGGACGTGCTCCAGCTCAGGCGGAGAGAAAGAGTGTTTGTGAGCTCAGAGGACCAGCAGCGCCTTCTGTGGCTAAGGGCGTGGGAGGCTGTGACGTCACACATTCCGGGCTCCCCAGGTACCTTATTTTCGTCATGGTGGTCGCCACGCTGATTGTCATGAATTGCGTCATTGTGCTCAACTTGTCTTTGAGGACGCCCACCACCCATGCCATGTCTTCACGGCTGCGCCACGTAAGCTAGGGGCGGCCCGGCCCCGGGGCAAGAGGAGGGGCTTCGAGCTAATCCCCGCCCTGAACCCCGACCCTAGGTTTTCTTGGAGCTGCTGCCACGCATCCTGGGCTCCGGGTCGCCCTCCGAGGCTCCCCAGGCCGCCTCGCCCCCTAGGCGGGCGTCATCAGTGGGTTTATTGCTCCGCGCGGAGGAGCTGATACTGAAAAAGCCGCGGAGTGAACTCGTGTTTGAGGGGCAGAGACTCCGGCACGGGACCCGGACTGGTGAGTACTTGGACCCGCAAGGCCAACGGGGGCGCCTGCAGCGGGGGAGGCTCCTAATGACCCACCCCCGGTGTTGCCTCTGCCAGCTGCCCTCTGCCAGAGCCTGGGCTCCGCTGCCCCAGAGATCCGCTGCTGTGTGGATGCCGTGAACTTCATGGCTGAGAGCATGCGAGACCAGGAGGCCGCCGGCGAGGTGAAATACGGCAGAGGTCCCTGACTCTTTCCTGGGCCTGCCGCTGGCTCTTGCAGCTGCTCTTTTACGGATTTGGTTTGTGTTATCCCTTCCCCAGGAGGTGTCCGACTGGGTGCGCATGGGGAAGGCTCTTGACAACATCTGCTTCTGGGCTGCTCTGGTGCTCTTCAGCGTGGGCTCCAGCCTCATCTTCCTTGGGGGTTACTTCAACCAAGTGCCTGATCTCCCCTTTCCACCTTGTATCCAACCTGAGCCAGCACCAAATTCAACTTCCCCACCACCTTCCAGTAGGAAATAGATTCTGAAAAAAGCTACTGTCATTGTATTATGATCCTTTCCACTGCTGACATCTGTATGAACTTCCCAAGAGCAATGGTGTGTGCTACCGTGCTTAGGTCTGGCTCCAGGGCAGGGCTCAGCAGAAGGCAGGTGGGCTCTTGGGCACCAATCCTTCAGAAAGTAAGGCCTGCCCTTCATGCAGTCTCGCTGACCTCCCAGCTTTTCTGGAACCTATGAGCTTTCAAGTTACTTAGTCCATTTGATAGCCAAACCAGACAGACCTCTTTGCAGGACTTGCACATAGGGAGGATGGACACAGGAAGTCCTGTCCTTCTCTGGCCTGGCTCTGCTGGAGTGGGTGGGGACCAAATACTCTCAATGCAGGTGGTCCTCAGGCCCAGAGGCCCTACTTCAGTCATCTCTTCTAGCATTTCTTGGCCTACCACCCTACTGCTACCCTACTCCACCCCATTAAGAGTCACTCATTGCTGATCCCATCCTACCCATTTGTTTCATCCCAACTCTGCAGGCTCTCTCTGGTTAGTATCCAGGATTGTGAGAGAAAACAATAAAACAGGGTCTGAAATGGTGGGAGCTGGTTGAATTGTCTTTATTAACAAACGGGATATCCAAGGCCACTACATTGAGGAGGGCGGAGGAAGGAGGAAAAGGGCTACTTGCTGCTCACACTATGTACAGATGCAAGCAAGGGGGGCTGGAGGGGAAAGCATCCTACTCCCTCACTCCAAGGAGGGGCAGAGGCCAAAAGAGGGGATTGGGTTTGGGAAGGGGGAATGTTTTGGCTGGCGGGGTCCCTCCTCCATTCCCTGGGGTTTGGGGGGAGGGGAATCAATAAAGTGCTTTCAGAAAATGAAGAAATGGTCCCTGCCCCTGGAGTGGCTGGTGACCCCCCAAAAACCTAGGGCCCAGTGACCCCCCCCAGGGTCTGGTACATTCAAGGGGGGAGCCGGCTCCCCTGACGTGCAAATAAAGGGGTCCAGGGCCCTGCCCAGTCAGCAGCAGTGGGGTAAGGGGTCCAAGCCCCAGCATTCTCCTCTTAAGTAGAGAAAGGGGGGGAGGGGCTAGGCCCATTTGATTTCTGGTAAGGGGAAGCTGTGTCCCTCCCCAGAAGTTGGGGATGGGCACAGTTTTGGGGAAAGAATATGTTGGGAAGAGGATGGTCACGTGATCACAAAAGCATTGGGGGTCAGAGGTCACGTTCCCAGCAGGCTCCAGTGAATCAAACCAGTAAAAGCAAAAGCCCAGGGAGGGGAATAAAGGAGAGGCCTGGGAAGTCTGGTTGTTGGGGGAGAGCTGGGTCCAGCGTGGGACAGCCCCAGCCCAGGGCCCTGTCACCAGTTCATGATGCAGTTACGGTTCAGAGTCATGAAGTAAACTTGGCTGCTGCCCCCGGAGCGGACTGAGGCAAAAAAGACCTGAATAGGGTAGGAGAAGTCGTCACCAAGGGCTGGGTATCAATTAATTGGGACAAAGAAACTGGGTGAGAGGGAGTGGGGGACAGAGAGAAAAAGAGAGAGAGAGAGATGAACTGTAGAATGAGACCCTCAGAGTACATTCCTCATCCCCATGAAAGCCTGAAATGCCGGGGAAGAGGGTAAACTGCCAGACCCTGGGTGAAAGCATCTGCAGAGTTCTTAAAAATGGAAGGCAAAGGATAGAGGCAGTGACTGCACACTGTATCCCCAGGGTGCCCCCTTTCAGAAAGACTACCACCACACCCTCACCCAGAACCCTGCCTCGGGTCATGAGAGCCAGCACAGCACAGCCCTTTCAAGAGAGAAAGAGCCTCCCACCTTGTCATTCCGCTCACACAGGAACTTGAGCCTCTGGGCTCGTTTGTGCATGAAGACCCCATCCAGATGGCCTGTCTCCACAGAGCGGATCTCAATGGCTTTCTCACCCCAGCCCATAATCTGGTTGGAGCAAATGTAGGCTGTGGAGACAAGGCAGTTGAGGGCTGAGTAGATGCAGCCCAGCCCCTGTCCCAAGCTGCTCTCCTGGGCCACCTCAGGCATACAGCTCTGAGGGCGTCAACTTACTTACCCACAGAGGTGGGCATCTCTCCCCACTGCAGCACCACATCTTTGATGATCCGCCCATATGTGTTGACATAGACTCCCTCATCTTCATAGCATAGCAGCATCTCCATGCCGTCAGTGTTGGGGAGGAAGATGATGGCATGAGGCGTGATCTGGCTCTGGATCTGAGGGAAAGAAGGTATGCTGGAGCCCCCACATCTGGTGCCCAGCCTGGCTGCTCCCAGCCTTCTTGCATCTCCACTCAGCTCACATGCACAGGGATATAGATGTCATAGCTATTCCCCGAGTCGACATCTACAGCGTGGAAGCCAGCACTGGAGCCATAAATGACCTTGAGACGCTGTCCCTCCTCTACGGTCAGGTCAACCAGCAGAGGGCGGTGAGGAAGGTCAGCGAAGGACTGTGGAGGAGAGAAGGGCTCAGCACACGGAAAGGAGCTGGCTGGGCCTTGGGGCAGAGTTGGTAGGCTGAGGGTGAGATTACCTTGAAGGCCATGAATTTGTGGTAGGGTTTGGGGGCCCAGGCATATACCTCCACAGAGTTCTTCAGGGCAATGACCAGGAACTTAATACGCTCATATTTCACTGGGGAAAGGAGAGAAGATGGATGCCAAGGCTTCCCTTCTGGGGTTGCCGGCCCCTCCTGCCAGTTGTCACCACACTAGCCCATCCCATGCCATGAGTCTCTGGCTTTAGGCTTTTCTTAGCCATTTGGCCCAGGATTGTTTCTCTCTTCTCATAAATAAGCATGCCCTGGCATCCTCACCAACTCGGTAGTGCCCACAGCCCTCCATGTCCCCCACGGTCGTCCAGCCCTGCTTCTTCTCCACTTCTGGGTCATTGTGCAGAATCTTGTTTCGGAGCCAAGACAGGTAATACACCCGCAGTTTGTTCCTTTTCCCTGAGGAAAAGACACACCACATACTCTCATCCTCATCTGAGGTCCAGCTGTTGGACCAAGGCTTCCCTCCTCCCAGGGGAGACAGTGATAGAAACCCAAGGAGCTGAGTCCTGTCCCCCCTACTCTGCTTGCCTACCTGAGATGGTGATGAGCAGGTTGAGCCCCTCCAGCACATCCATTTGCTGGAAGCGTCGCCGCCCAATGAGTCCATATACCTTTCCCTGCCCGCTTCGGTCTAGCAGCATCAGCCCATTCTCCGTGCCCACCAGCAGGTTGACCCCTGCAACAGGAGCCCTTTGGCAGGTCAGAAGCCAAGCCAGGGACTCACCTGACCAGGAGAGCACAACAGCATGGCAGACCCCCATCAGCATCCTAGCCCCAGCTTACCCCAAAGGGCTGCACAGAGGATCTCAGAATTGAATCGTTTCTTGTACTTGCGAATCTCAGGAGTTTCATTGTGGGCCCGGGTGTTGGTGGGGTTCACATTGACCACAGAGCCCTTCCTCACGTCGTACTGTAGCTGATCAAGACGAGTGCCCTCTCCACCCACTAGGGCTGCCAGAAGAGGAAGAAGAGGGAGGATGGGTTGTAGCCCTGTTACCCCTACGTGTGGCCTTGGTGCCTCAAAAGGGAGGGGAAAGACTGGAGAACAGAGGAGGTACAAGGAAGATGCAACAGAGCTCTGGACTCCAAGTCAAAGGCCTGGCTCAAGTCCTAGTTCTGTCACTATTTTTTTTTTTTTTTTGAGACAGAGTCTCACTTTGTTATCCTCAGTCGAGTGCCGTGGCATCACAGCTCACAGCACCCTCCAACTATTGGGCTCAAGTGATTCTCTTGCCTCAGCCTCCCAAGTAGCTGGGACTACAGGCGCCTACCACAATGCCCAGCTATTTTTTTGTTGCAGATGTTTAGCTAGCCCAGGCTGGGTTTGAACCCACCACCTTTGTTATATGTGGCTGGTGCTGTAACCACTGTGCTATGTCACTTACTAGTTTTAAACCTTTGCCCAGGTCCCTTGGCCTTTCTGAGCATTTTTCCTCTTTTGCCCAGGGATCTCAAAAGCCCTGCACTTTGGAAAGCTGCATCCTCAGAGGACCACCTGTTCCCCTCCAGGCTACCTCTGGACTTCAGCCTCATAGCAGATCTGTCTTGCCATCCTCACCTGTGATGGGGATGGTGTCCCCACTGCCTCCAGGCTGGTAGATCCCTAGATCCACAAACATCGTGAACGAACTCTTGCCAGGGGCTTTTACTAGCCCACGAGATTGGTACTGTAGGGGGGGGGGGCAGCAGTCAGGCAAATCAGTGCAACCCCAGCCAATGGTGCTGCCCTGCTCTTGTTCCCAGGCCCCACTTCCCCCACTGGAATCTCTGGCTATGCAGTTCAAAGTGCTCTGTCCCCTCCCCCGTACTGCAGTGATCCAGCCCCCTATTTCCTGAACATTGCCAGGTTCTTCTCTCACAGACCTGCATCCAGCCTACTTACATCATTTCCTCCATCCTTTGAAGGTGGGCTTTGACCTTTGCTGTTTTCAGTGGGTGAGTGGCTGGGCTGGACCACATCAGGCAGGTTTGGGTAACCATTGCTGTCAGCATGCAGCAAGCTCCGCTCCTCTTCAGGGGTCTATAGGACAGAGGGAAAGGTCACCACTGGGGCCAAGAAGGACATACACAGGGCACTGGGCATTGGTGGGGGAGGCCCACTCACACGCTGGACCACCATGGTGCCGCCCCCGTATGGGGGCTGGGTCCCAGGGATCTCCTCAATATCATGGACCACCATGGTGCTGACGCTGTCTGTGTCTCCATCACTGCTGTGGGAGAGAGGAAGGTATGGCCCATCTAGGTCCCGCCTGTCACACAAGTGCCACAAGAAGCAGATAGACAGAGACTAGAGCTTTCAGCCTGTATTCAAAATATGACCTGCTTGGTCTTCACTGAACAGCCCCACTCTGCTCCACTGTTAAGTGGGCCCTACATGGCACAAAGGCCAGGGGCAGAGAGGCACCTGAAAAGGCTCATCCACAACAGGACAGTAGGAGAGACAGGACACCAGCACCCTTGCCCCATTTTCTAGAGATGAGGACCTGCTTTCCTTCAGACTTGCCTGTGGCCCTGTCCCCTCCCCTGCCCACATTCCTCCTCTCCCTGGGCCTCTGAGCAGCAAGAATCCACCCCCAGGATGCCCCCATACCGGGCCCCTGGGGTGTCTCTGCTCCCCTCTGATGGCTCGCCATCACCTTCCTCCTCATCCTCTTCACTGCTTTCCACTTCCTCACTGGATGACGAGTAGTCCATGGCCTTCTTAGGAGGCCGAGGGGCTTCATCCAGGGTCCGCTCTTTCAGTAACACGAAATCCTGCAGGGGAGGAGATATATGAGGGGAAGGCAGAAGGTGAGCTCTGGCGGGGTGGTACAAACGAGAGGAGACCAGGCAGGGTAGCAGGAGAGGGCTCCCACAAGCAGGCCCCACCTCACTAACCTCACCGATTGCTCGCTTATAGCTCTGGGAGGGGCCGCAGGCAAGAAAGGCAGCCAGAGAGGCAGGAGAGAGGTTGGAAAGGTTAGTGGTGTGAGAAGTGCCAGCCCTGTGATCCCCATAGTTCTCAGATTAGTGGGGCCCTGCCCTAGCTCCCAGCTCCCCAGGGGCTGTAGAGGCTCCAGGTTCAGCCCCTAAGCCCCCAAACAGGACAAAGCAGGGCCACGCCTGCCACCATGTGACTCACTGCGGGCCGGCCTGGCCGTGAGCGGTGGTCATCAGGCTTGGCTTTGTTCCCAGGGGAGAGCACTGGGGAGCTATCCAGTTTGGAGGAGGCTGGATATAGTAAGGCAGGAGAAGAGAGGTCACTGATACCTGAACGGGGGGTAGCCGCAAACCCACACCTCAGTTGACTACCTTTGGCCCTGAACCCCAGAGCTCAATGCCACATTCCATGCCTGCCCAGGTCCTCCCTGGCCCTCCAGCTGTCCTGGTCCAAAGCCACCAAAGGCAGGGTCCATCCTGATCAAGACCATGGCCAGACCCAGACTAGGCTGCCCCGGCCCTGGATTACATACCTCCCACACGGTTTCGCTCCAGTGAGCCAGCCTGAGGAAGGTGCCCATGAGAGGCCGGGAGGACACTGTCTGAGCGCTCCCAGCCAGGGTCGCTCCTCCTGAGGTCGGGGTTACTGAGAGGGGAGCAGAGCCAGGGTCAGGGAACACATTGCTCCCCTCCCTGGGCATCACACTGCACTGCAGAGGGAGCCATCACCAGGGAAGCAAGTGGGAGAAGTGAGGTGGGCATGAGTGGGGAACACCCCATTACCTAGAGGCGTTGGGCGGGCCAGGGGGCTGAGCAGGGGGCCCTGGAGGCTTGGGGGTGCCCCGCTCTGCCCGCCTTTGCAGATAGATTTGCCAGGCGGAGTTGCTGCGAGGTCTGTGGAGCGAGCACAGGGGATGCCGGCGGGGCGGGGGGTGGGGGGAGCTAGGGTGATTGGATTGGGGCTTACCCACCCCTAAGTGGGTAATCTGGTCAAGTTCTCCATTATCCACCCAACCCCAACTCCCTAGTCTTCCCCTAGACCCCAGCCAGGCATTACCTTGCTCGGACAGCCTGGGCTGGCCGGGACCCTCCGGCCCCACTGGTGTTAAGGGCAGTGGCGATAGATGAGGTCCTCTGAGGCACCTGTGGAGCAGAGGAGAGGGGTCACCGTGCCACAGGCCAGCATTGTGCCAGGCAGTCCCCTACAACTCTGAGAGGTGTGTCCCCTATCTTTATGGGTGAGAAAACTGAGAGGCCTGGAGAGTTAATAAATATGCTTGAGATCTTGAAGTAGAAATGGCAAAGCTGGGATCCTAACCCAGAAAGTCTGCCCCATAGTGCTCTTGAAATATCCTGGCCATTTCTCCATCCTCAGGTTGAAGACACCTTAGCTTCTCCTTCACTTCCCAGGCTGAATGCCATCTCTACCTCCTCCACTCCTCTATTCTCCCTCCTTGTCCTCTTGTTATTATTTCTCCATTTTTCCCTAGAACCATAGGGCTATCCTTACCTTGGGTGGGGCCTCGTTGTCTGGCCGGACCCAGGCTGGGGGGTTTGGGCTGGGGCCAGGCCCTTCAGAAGTGGGGTCTGAATTCTGGCGGATGACAGCTCCCCGGGCACTGGGAGTGGCAGCAGGTGTGGGGATGGCAGGATCAGGGTCGTGAGAGGCTGGGAAGGCAGCCAGGTTTCGGGTGGGCTGGTCCTGCAGGGACTGGGATCGGGGTACAGGTGCTGCATATGGCTTCAGTGGGACCCGGTGTGCTACCAGGCTCTGCAGGGAGAGACCAGGGAGGGTGGGCTGCCCACTCCGTGGCAATATCCCCACCCATAAGTCTGGGTCTGAGCTGGGAAAGGCTATTACATGCCCCTTCCTCCATCAAAGAACAGAAGGTTTCTAAAGCCTGAGAACAGGCAGGACAAAACAAACACATGCAGCAGCAAGTAGTAACTGTCTCTGCCTGTGCATCCTGCAGTCCATGATCCTGGCTAAGAACTGAGCGAATGTGTGTGTGGTATGTGGACACACGTGTGTACCTGTGCTCTGAGTGAAGCTCTCTGTGTCTTCAAGTTAAGATAGAAATGGGAAGAAACTCACCTTGTGTGGTCCCTCCTGGGGCTCCACTGGCCTCTGCATAGGAGGAGTTTGGGAAAGAGGTCCTGGGGGTCCAGGGGAGGCCTGGGGGATGGAGGGCTCAGGCCCTGTGCTGCTTGGCTTGGTCTTGGCCAAGGGAGAGTTCTGCTGCTTATTCATCCTTGTTCTCTCTTCTACCTGTGATGCAAAATGATGTCAAGCTGGCCAGCTGTCTCCTCCCTGTTCCCAAAATTTAGGCCCCCACCTGCTCTAACCACTCTAGTCCTGTAGCCTGTGCTATGTGTCACTTTCCCCTTCTCAGTGCCTGCTACTGAGAAACAACTGCTTTTTGCAACTCTCTAGGACTTGGGCAATGAGACTGGGAAGATGGAGTGTTAGGAGACAAAGGAGGCAGCAAGTACCTCTCGAGCCCACGCTGGCTTGTCAGCGGGATTAATGCCCCGACCATAATGATACAGGGGCTTCCTTTCCCCAGGCAGGATCTGCTGCTGCTGCTGTTTCTGAAGCTGCTGCTGCTGCTGCTGCTGTTGCTGCTGCTGTAGGGACTTGAGGTAGGCGTGCTCCTGCTGCAGTTGCCTCTGGAGACGTTCTGACTGCCGCTGCTCCTCCAGCTGCTTCCGCTTGTATTCCTGGGTCCAAGGGTAGGGAGAGAGGCTCAGCAGGGTGTGGCCCTGGTTGTCAGAGCAGGCATGCCCTTTCTTTTCTCCAACTGCCTAGAGAGGAGATGTCTTCCCTTGATGCCTTGGGTGAATCCCTTCCCTTGATGTGTTCCCATCCCAATCCAGCAAAGCAGCTCTGGAAAGCATCTGCCCAGAGGACGCTGAGGGACCCCGTTACCAGCAGCAGGGCCTGTTCCTGGAGCAGCTGTTGCTGAAGGATCTCGAGCTGTCGCTGCTCCTCCTCTAGCCTGTGACGGATATATTCCTGGGGGGTGGGGGTGGGGTGGGGGAAAGGGCAGGGAGAGAGGAAGAGGCAGAGGAGGGGCAGCAGCAGCGAGTTGGAGTTGGAAGAGGGCAGGGGAGCAGGGAAAGTAAGAGAGGGCAGCAGGATGAGCCCCAAGGGGCAGTGTGGCCCATGGGTAAGCCCAGGAGGAAGCGGAGTGGGGGCCGGGTGGGGGCAGTGAGGGAAGGGCAGAGACGGAATGAGATACAGAGACAGGAGGGCGGGGAGCCAGGGTAGGGGTAGAAGGGTAGGAGAAAACAGAGAGAAAGAGTGAAGCTAGAAAAGATAGGAGGAATCTGGGAGTGGGGAGAGAAGGGAAGGGCACTGGGGAGCAGGGAGGCAGGCGGCAGGCGAAGGAGCCGGCGGGCGGCCAGGAGTGTGTGGTGCGCCGCCCGGGAAGGGTACCTGCTCTCGCTCCGCCTGCCGCCGCTCCTCCTCCCGCCGCAGCGCCTGCATGTCCTCTAGCCGCCGCTGCTGCTCCTTCTCCTGCAGCTTTCGCTGCTCCCGCTCCCGCCGCTGTTGCTGTGGGGAGAGGCAGGTGGGCTTAGGGTCTGTCCCAGCTACTGCCACAGCACCGAGGGGTAGGGGGACAGAGCCCACAGGGCATACTTGGAGTAGCTGTGAGCATGAGTATAGAGGCCGCAAGGCTGACTGCTGCCCTTCGAGTGGGCTCAATAGGACAATATCTTCCCTTACCCATGCCCCCTCAAACAACAAAACCAAGGGCTTACAAACACCGCCAACACTCCTGGCCTCAAATCTTCTCCACTAGAGTCTGAGAAGAGTGGGCTGTAGTGATACCATCTGGTCACAAGAGGGCACCAGGTGCCCGCACACAGAAAGCATCCTTCTGATTTAATGAGAAGATCAAGGAGTAAACCTAACCCTAACTCCTCTAGAGCCAGGTTGAACTTGACTTTCATGATCTTTCTAACCAAATAGTCTAGACACTGTTAATAATAAAAAAAATAAAATGTTAAGCTCAAGCTCTAAGGGGGCCTTGTATTTTCACACTTGCGGGAACTTGTACCTATTTCTGTGATGCTGACAGGCCTTCTCCAGGAAAGCTTTGTCAGACATGATTTTTTATTATTGATTATGATTATTATTACCCTGCTATCAAAACACTATATATTTTTTTTCTTTTTTTTGAGACAGTCTCACTTTGACTCCCTTGGTAGAGTGCTGTGGTATCATAGACCACAGCAAGCTCAAACTCTTGGGCTCAAGTAATCTTCTTGCTTCAGCCTCCTGGGTAGCTGGGACTATAGACGCCTGCCATAATGCCCAGTTATTTTTAGAGAAAAGGTCTGGCTAGCTCAGGCTGGTTTCAAACTTGTGAGCTTAGGCAATCCACCTGCCTTGGCCTCCCAGAGTGTTAGGATTATAGGCATGAGCCACTGCTCTGGCTT